TTCTATAGTAAACACAGCCTATGTGAAACTAATTATTATATAAATGTATGTGGTCTTTTGGCTCAGAAAAATGTTGAAGGAGCCTGCTTGGACTTATTCAATTCAATTAATTCATTTAAGTGCTTGACAACAGCCAGGTAATAATAAATACATAATATGAATAAAAGCGAATCCGGATTGCTATATGAAAAATATCTAGCCACTTAATAATTTAGACAGTTAGTTAACCTATTTAGATAGGCATTTCCGTGGGCACTTATTTGGGAGGTTATTTAGAGATAAATTTATAATTTTCGGAAGGAAGTGGCCCTTTAAAATACACCCGAAGCAAGAAATCTTCACATGAAAAATATATTCAAGTTACTTAAGGAGCAATAATTTCAGAAAATAGTAATGTTTTTGCGGTTATGGTAGCTTTCCCTTGAGCGTCATGTTTGAAGTCACTGTATTTCGTTATTAAATTACCAGTCAATAGCTAATGTAATGATCTAAGTACACCACATGGAAATTCAGTCTTGTAGTAACGATGGAAAGAAAATACACACATGGCTTGGGGTGTTTTGTTATAGAATTCTGTTTTGCAGCACTAACTCATTACATTTAACGAAACATTTATATTATTTGTTCAAAAGCGAAATGTGACACTTCGTTAACTAATAAAATAAGAGGCTAATCATATTATAGTAATTATGTAATCAGTGAAATAGGTCGGTTTGTAAAAACAGAGAAAATTCAGTTGCTGACATTTGTGTCTTTACAGGTGACAACATGAACACATTTCTCAATGAAAACTGGCGTCTCGTCATTGATGACCTTGGCAAGCCTATGTCCTACGCCTTAGGCAGCATAGTGCACAGAATTCTTTCGAACATCTACAAGAAGATTCCATTCAAAGAACTGTTTGCCGAATGAGTCAGACCCGTTAACTGCATGTTTTAGAAGTTATATGTTACATTTGAACGTATATTCTCCATTATAACCGTTCCAGCTTTCAGAACCGGATTATTCTGCTTCTCAGTGTATTCGACACAAGGGTCTCTTATTCGAAAACAGATCACAGAGGCAGATAATTAGTTCTGAAGTCTATAAGTCCGTCCAGTACAACAGTTCCTTCCAGACTCTCTGTCACAATATAGTCCTTCTGATATGTAGTTATACAGACTTAAAATATTTTCTAATAAAGAATACAAATCATGTGTAGCAAAACTTCTCTTACCCTGGCGCCTACTTTATTAAACCATTTCATAGGGAATGAATAGCCCTTACTCTAGGCCGTATCCCTGCATTCACACAAAAGTTAACTGCTGTGTCAATCTGAATTCGTATGCACCATGCCTACTCTCTTAAAGGCAGCTCCACAATAACAAAACTGAGAAAACACTATCATGACCTGCCCAAGCGGCCTTCCTTCAAAAGAATAAATAAAGTACAAAAATACTTTGAGAGAAATTGACATTTGGGATTTGTGAAACTCGTTAATCTTGCAAGTCATAGATCGCAAATAAATACCAGACATCACCAAAAATAAAATTCAGAAATCAGAAACATTTTAACCAGGCACAATTACTGTATGATTAGCCGGGATAGCTCAGTCAGTATGGTGACTAGCTACGGGCTGGGCGATCGGGGTTCAATCCCCGTTGGGAGCAGAGGATTTTTCCTCTAGCCTCTGCGTCCAGACCGGCTCTGGGGCCCATCCAGCCTCCTATCCAGTGGGTACCGGAATCCTTTCCCTGGGGTAAAGCACAGCAAGGGCGAGATGCTGACCACTCACCCCCATCTAGTGCCGAGTTCAAGAAAGAGTAGGAGCTATACCTCGGCTCCCCCCAAGTGCCTACATAGGCATGTAGCGGGAAGCTTTACTTTACTTACAATTATTGTATGACTGCGTCAATATTTAACAATTCAGATTTCCTGTTACAGAATTCAAATACGCTGATGTTAATGCGGACCGTCTGTTAGAATACAACTGACTTTATACAGAACGAAATTTATGGTTGACTAGAGTTTGAAGTTCCTTGAACTGATTCCTTTACTGGAAACAACATACAGAAGTTTTTATATTATTTTAATATGTGTATTCCTATTTATTCATGTTGTTGCTAAGCTAAGTATTCTTAGATTGTTATTTAACAGCTGAAGTAAGTGTGTGTGTTCGTACATGCATGAACGTTTGTGTGTATCTACTAAAAACCCTAGTTATTCCTCTCATTGGCACATCTTGTCTGTAATAAGGAAGAAATGCGTTACAACATATGGCGAGTGGATGGCGTCATTTTACAATGTGAAATTCGAGCAACTACGACAAATGCCTGCTTGTTATACCGCTTACAGGGCATAATATGTTTCTTACTTTAACTACCACTGCAAACTAAGTAAGAAAGCGTATATAAGTCTTCGTTTGGATGTTATCCACGGCCAAAATGTTGTTCAATTACAATCACAGTGTTTCGTTAGTTGGTTCATAAATGTCTTCAGATAGTAGGACAACACGGCACTGGAAGGTAATAATGGACTGGGCACGTAGGCATAATAAGGAAACAAAAATACACAGAGAATTGTAGTGGGAAAACCTGTTGAAAGTTCGAAAAGGGAATGTGAGGCTGGCATTAAGTTGGACCTTAGGGAGACGGGTTGCGGGTATGGGAGGTAAGTGGAACTAGCTCACTATTGTATCCAGCGGATGTGGTATCAGCCGGATTGAACTTTTGGGTTCTGATACTGCAATCGTCTTTAGTAATTCGTAATAACTTAAAGCGGTAACGGACGTTTTACGCATTGTATTGCCTACAGTGTTTACATAAAGTAGTTCAAGTGCAAATCAGTTTTATTACCGGTAGCTACGAAGCCCGACTCTCAACCAGAGGGTTGCTAGTCCCCCATCGGGCGCCTCTCCACGTTGCGGATAGGAGAATGCTTCCCAGATATGGGTGGTACCGGGGAAATCAAATATCCGGGGCGGACAAAAACATGATCCTGGACCGGTTCGAGGCTGGATTACCACAAGCATGGCTGGAGCAGCTTTAATGGTTGTGGTACTGCGATGTGGAAAGCAAATGGAAAAACTACCACATTACTTTTTTCCAGGACAGCTTCTGCCCAACAGGAGCAGTCACAATATGCATGATGCTTTCTCCAGAGACAAAACAATCCGGAGGTAAATTAGTCCTCCATTCGGATCTCGGGAGAGGGTATCAGGCAGGAGAATTCTTTTTGGAAATTCACCATAGGAACTTGAAACGTCAGGACACTATAACAGGGAGGAAAACTGGAAAATCTCAAGATCGAAATAGATACAAATAATGTGTGCATTGTGGATGTCAGTGAAGTTCGATGGAGGGATCAAGGTGATTTCGAGTCTGGAAGCTATCATATGTACTACTCGGGAGGTGAGAGTGCTGAAAGAGGTGTTACAATAGTGATACAGAAATGGATCAAGAAAAGAATAATCAAAGTGCAAGCGTGTAGTGACAGATTGATGTATATGAAGTTGAATGCAGAACCAGTGGATATTCTGATAATGCAAGTGTATATGCCAACATCGGATCATGACGATGAAGAAGTGGAAATAATATATGAGAAGATAGAAGAAATCATCAGGACAGAAGGAAGAGGGAAAGTGCAAACCATAATAATGGGAGACTGGAACAGTGTCATGGGGAAAGGAGCAGAAAACAACATTGTCGGCCCACATGGACTGGGAATAAGGAATAGGAGAGGGAACATGATGGTCGACTTCTGCCGAAGAAATGGATTGGTAATCACCAACACCTGGTTCAAGAAGCATCACAGGATATTGTATACGTGGAAAAGTCCAGGAGACAGGAGCAGATACCAGATAGACTATGTTAGTTGCAAAGGTCAGAGTGAAGCATCACAGGAGATTGTATACGTGGAAAAGCCCAGGAGACAGGAGCAGATACCACATAGACTATATCTTAGTGAAGCAACGATTTAGGAACAGCGTAAAGGGTGTGAGAACAGTGCCATCAGCGGACATCGACTCGGATCATAATATGTTAGTTGCAAACGTCAGCACCAGAATGAAGAAAATCAGGAAGAAGAGATGGGACCTGGAGAACCTGAAGAGCGCGCGAGATGAAGTAAGAGCAGAATTGGAAGGAAAATTAAGTGAAAGTGAAGGCGAAAATGTTGAAGAGGAATGGACAAATGCCAAGAAGTGCCTAACAGTGGCACTAGAAGAAAAGGTTGGTAGGATGAAAAGGATACCAAGGAAGGCATGGATTACACAGGCTATGTTCGATGAGACGGATGAGAGGAGGAGATGGAAGAATATCAACAGTGAAGAGGGAAGACAGAAATATCGAAGGCTGAACAACGAACTGAGAAGAGAAACAGACAAGGCGAGAGAAGATTACATCAACGAAGTATGTGATGAGATAATGACACTCCAGAGAATTGGTAGATACAATTTTATGTATGCAAAGGCGAAAGAACTAGGATGGAAAGAGAACAACGGAATTCGAACACAGGAAATAGAAGACCCATCAGGAAAGATAGTCAGTGACCAGAATGAAGTTAAAGCTGTGTGGGAAAATTATATTGAAGAGCTTTATGACAAGGCCATTCGACCGGATAAGATAGAGATGGAACTGGAGCCAGAAGAAGAAGTAGAGGAGGACGACAAAGGTCAAGAGATACTGAAGAGCGAGGTAGAGAGGGCCATAAAGGATATGAGAAGAAGAAAAGCTATGGGAGATGATGAAATTCCATCGGACTTAATTCCAAGAAGTGCGGCGATTACAGGACCATCAGCCTAATCTCACATGCGGCGAAGATGATGGCTAGAATACTGACTAAAAGACTAGAAAAGAAGATAGAGGAAGTGATGGGAGACGACCAAATTGGATTCAGGAGAGGAAGAGGAACCAGAGATGCCATCAGAGTTATGAGAATAATTTCAGAGAGAGTTCTCGATGTCAAGGAAGAAGTATGTGCCTGCTTCATCGACTGGAAGAAGGCTTTCGATCAAGTAAAATGGAAGAAATTAATGAGGATCCTATAGAGAATTGGAATTGATTGGAGAGATAGAAGACTAATCGAAAACCTGTACATGCAGCAAAAAGTCAAAGTGAGACTGGACTCAGGAGACACCAACAGCGTTGAGATAGGTAGAGGTGTAAGACAGGGATGCTGCTTATCACCAATTATTTTTAACCTGTACGGTGAATGGCTTGCCAAGGAAGCTCTGGAGGGAACAGGAGACTTCAAAATTGGAGGATGAGTCATAACGACTGTAAAATATGCAGACGACTTAGTAGTATTGGCGAAGGAAGAGGAGGAATTACAGAACATGATGGACAAGTTAGTGGAAACAGGTAGAGAGTATGGAATGGAAATCAACATTGAAAAATCAAAGGTAATGAGGATAGCACCGAGAGCAGAACCATTGAACGTTGTAGTTGGAAACCAACAGCTGGAGAATGTGGAGCATTTCAAGTACGTGGGAAGCATAATCACGACGGACGCCCTATGCACCAAGGAAGTAAAAGCAAGGATAGCCATGGAAAGGCAGCTTTCGTCAAGAAGAGGATACTTCTCACTAGCAAGTTGGGCTTGGAGATGAAGAAGAAACTAGTGAAGTGTTACGTATGGAGTGTCGCGCTGTATGGAGCAGAGACTTGGACACTCAGGAAGAAGGAACAGAAATACCTGGAGAGTTTTGAAATGTGGTGTTGGAGAAGAATAGAGAAGATCAGGTGGACGGATCGAGTGACCAACGAAGAAGTATTGAGGAGAGTCAACGAGCAAAGAAACATTCTGCAGGCGATTACACGAAGGAAAGCTAACTGGCTGGGACATATTATGAGAAGGAATGGATTACTGAGTGATATCATTGAAGGCCTGGTTGAAGGAAAGCGAGAACTGGGTAGAAGACTGATACAGCTAACTGACGACCTTAAACAAGGAAAGAAGATGAAGTTTCAGGAATTAAAACGAGAAGCTGAGAATAGAGAAAACTGGTGAACTCTTTTTGGGCAGAAGAATGGACCTGTCGTCAGACAGAACACTAAATAATAATAGCAGATACTATTTTTGTGATTGAATTTTTTTTTTTTAAATTCGGTTAAACCTGTATCCTAAACCTGTCACTGTGTTAGCAATCATACCAAACGACAAAATGCACGCTGTTGAAAAAAGCACCTATCCTGGAAAGACTTTTATCTTTTACAATGATGAATAACTATAAAACTAACTAGATGGCTTAGGGAACACGAAGGTTCATCATGGAATTAATCCAAGGCCTCCACCGGTCTGTGTCCTGGATCAAATAATCCAGTATCCTTCAAATCCTATCTACCACAGAACCCGCTTTTTATAATCCTCCCATCTACATTTAGTTCGCCCCAGCGGTCTTCTCTCCTCAGGCTTCCCGACCAATACACGGTTCGAAACTCTTGCCCCATTCATGCCCCGCCCATCTCATTTTCCTTGACTTAATCACCCTGAAAATACTGGGGGATAAGTACAAATTTTTAAGCCCGTCATTTTACAGTTTCTCCATGCCACTTTCTCTTCTCTTCTCTTCTGTGCCCAAATATCCTCCTCAACACCGTATTCTCAAACACCTGCAATCTATTATAGCCGCTCAGTGATAGGAGCTTGGCTCCTCTGTAGACACTGGAATCTCTCAGGGGTGTTTACGGCATGTAACTCCCAACAACTAGAGGCTGCCGCTGTTGCTGAATATTTCACGCTATTTATTTACTTGAAAATAGTACAGATATTACTAGGCCGTACCCGCAAAAAGATGATTGCAGTTGAATTTTGGAATTGTAGTAGACTTGCGTGCGACTATGTTCAAAGTTTGTTGTAGAATACCAAACTGACGCCCTGCTGTAAGCGTCCCGTCCCTGGTTCGAAAATTTCAAACCCAGTGACTTAGTCATTTTCATACAGCTCTTTGTTGTGCTGTCCTGTGTACAGGTAGAGGCCTTGCGACGGGCCGATCCCTCGTCGAAGGAGTCCTATCAAAATGTCTATAGATCAAGCCAACGAAATGTGGGACTCGCAGTGATCAGGCAATTGAAGAAAGGGTCGTCCCAGTATCCAATAAATTAGTTGTTTTTTCATGAACTTACACTTTTTTCCCTTATTATTCATGCATCCGTCAAAAGATGGCAAGAATACCCCAATGGGTAAACCTTCGTCTCTCTCTTTCATACTGCCTTCTCTTCTCTCTTCACTTAAAAAACAACCTTTAACTTTTCAGGGGTTAACATTTGTTTATTAGCTTTACATGTTCTTTGCGTCTCTTTCTCGTTAATTGTCATAATTCTGCCACTTATTAAGCAAAAACTTCTTATTCGTTACAATACAACACATGCGTGGGGTTATAATAAACATTCGTCCTGACATTCAATTGTTCTGCTCTCACAAGACACATACATTGGGATAATTTTGAAGATTAAACTCCATACTACAGCTGTTACCATAGTTAAATGATTATTGTTTTCAAATTTATGATAAATAGTGCCTACTGAGTTCCACGAAATTTACGGAACTTCTTGCAACCAAATCAATCAGTGCCGAATTTATCTAAATATGGCTTTAATGAATGCTTTAGATGGTCTTTAAAGCTACGCGAAAAGGTGAATAAATCATCCACATAAAAGGCAACAAACTCCTCACTATCAGAACCCAGCACAACTTTTAATGCTCTAACAAATGCTAATAATGTGTTCTTGAATCCATAAGGGATGCGTCGAATCAAACAAAAAGTTGTCAGTGGAACCACGGTTCCGGAGAATTTGACGTAAATATGTCTATACGGAAAGGACATTTATTTATTTGTTTTATTGTAAATATTTCCTTTATACATGCTTTACAATCGAGATAAGATTGATTAAGATATTGCTTATTTAACTTGAATTAGTAACGCTTAAGATGGGTCTGTGGTAGCTGAATGTAATGTATTGTAAGGTAAGGTAAGGTAAGGTAATGTAAGGTAAGGTAATGTAATGTAAGGTAAGGTAATGTAAGGTATGGTAAGGTAATGTAATGTAATGTAAGGTAACGTAATGTAATGTAAGGTAATGTAAGGTAAGGTAAAGTAATGTAATGTAAGGTAAGGTAAGGTAATGTAATGTAATGTAAGGTAACGTAATGTAATGTGAGGTAATGTAAGGTAAGGTAAAGTAATGTAATGTAATGTAATGTAACTATGTAGGTAACCATTTTTCCTTATTTGTTGATAAACAGATGACGTTTCCTAGATAAAAATAACAATTGAAGTTTCCTAGGTAACATAACAATGAAGTTACACTTTTTCGTTTCCCTTTTTCGTAACACTATTTCGTAACACTTTTTCGTAACATTTTTGCCGAATGACACTGTCCCTAAAATATAGACGTATTTACGTCAAAAATCTGTAAATCGGCGCGAACTTTCCTTGAGGCTAATTTGCAGAAAAGCACTGGTGAGATCTAGCGATTTCATGTACCTCACCCGTTTAAAACGTTGTAATAACTCGCCTATTGGGCAAATTCCTTCACTATCTGGAACCATAACAGAATTTATTTTCCTAGCATCAATACAAAGACGTGGTTTTCTCCCTTCCTTATACACAACAGTGAAAGGATTTATAAACGGAGAATTACATGTCTCTAAAATATCGTCAGCCAACATCTGAGCTATTTGTTCTTTTATAATAGACCTGACAGCGAAAGGGATCACTCTAGAACTCCCCGTGATTGACTTATGATAACTCAGTACAAACTCGTACTGAAACAGGCGACACATACCTGGTTTCGAAGTCAAATGCTCTAGGTACTTCAATGAAAATTTAATTAAACTCTCTTTCTGAAGAATTTTGAGGTGTGCATTTGCATTAATCAGAGCCGTTACGTCCACAGCTTGCAAAGAATGGGAATCAGGTGAACCTATCCTAGTATTCACCACCAAGATTGGATTCATCAGACCTTCCTCTCCAACTTT